AATGCAAATGACTCGAGAGGTTTTGTAAAGGCAGTACTGGAAAAAAATATTTAGCAAATTTTATATGTAAATGTTTTATATGTTTAATAAAAGTTGCAATTTTTTTTTTTTTTGCACTACTTTATTTTTATTTGAAGTTCTTTATTTTTGTGTAAAAAATTCATTTTTATTTCTCAAAACTTAAGTGTCCTGATTGTTATATATTTTTTATTTTATTTTGTTTTAATTTGCATTATTTTACAAATGTTTTGCTCAATACTTTATTTTGTTTGCGAAACTTTTATGTTAGCATAAGTATATATGGCCCTAGATTGACTCCATGCAATATGGACATATTTTTACTTACTTAATATAAACTGATCATTTATATTGAACAAATATGCTAAATCTAGGATGACCTCAGATGACCTCTTAATTGCAGATGCATCAAATGAAAAGGAACTGTTTTCATGTTAGTCCTGAGAGTGTTGAGACATCTCTGAGTTTGGGGAGATCAATTATCTCACTCTGAGATGATCATTGTTGTGTTTATGTTGTGTCTCTGCTAAGGTCATTATCACTTACCCTTGTGAGATGAGAGCAGCCTGGGGCTCATTAGGGCGGCTAAAAATAATTTACACACACCAGACATGATTTGTTTCTGTCTCAAGATTTGCTGACGCAACAGTTTTCAATTATGGGGTCTTAATTACAACAGTAAACACGACCATGTTATTTCAGCCACACTGATCACTAAAGAGAAACTTTACAGGCGCTGCTTTCTGTCTAAATCAAAGGAAATTGAAATGGTTCCCACAATAATGTGTTTAATTACTCACTATATCCATACCTTAAATCAAGCATTGCTTTTTACGCATTGATTGAACAAGAAAAAATTTACTCAATCTAAAGTATGAAAAAATAACTTGTGTCCGCACTAATTTGTTGTAAAACAAATATTTAAAATATGTATTCTAACTTGTTTGTGCTTTTGAATATTATTGATTTAGATAATGTTTTGGAATCTCATAATTCCAATAGAAAAGGGATCTGTATTTTTTTTTTATTATTTCATTTAGGACCTCTGTCATGTTCATGAATGTTCCCAATTTCATTTTAGCTATAGGGAATACTAACAATTCAAAGCTCTATATTTCTGAAACATTTAAATGTTACTTATGAAGAAGGATAAAAAAATAAACAATAAGGAAGATGAAAATGCCTTTACAAATATTGTAGGGATGCGTTTTCCTGACCATACAAGACGCAGGAACTTTAAATAAAATATTTACTTACCCTTACTTATTCCCAGGGCCATTGATATCGAAGTTGATAGTAAGCTCCACCATATTAGTGTTTCGTAGCATGTATTTACTTTTCAAAAGTTCACACTTAGCTAATGATTGATTATAAAGCTTGATTGGCATGCTGTCCCGGGAGAGAGCCCTGAGCTCATAAAATCCTAGAGCTCGGGGCTCCCTCCCGTTTGCAAGGTGAGAGGGGAGTTTGACCTCAGGTAGATCTCGAGAACTTTCCTGATGTAGTAGCTGGTGAACAGATAGTGATTGTTCTTAAGAGATAACTATTTATTAGGAGCATGTCTATGGTGTTGATTTGGATTAGTCAATTAACTTAAATTGCATGTTTTTGGCAGTGGGAGGAAACGGGAACCCGGAGGGAACCCACGTGAGCACGGGGAGAACGTGTAAACTCCATAGAAATGTTGGCTGGCATAAGGACTAGAACTAGTGACGTTCTTGCTGTAAGGCAACAGTGCTAACCATTGGGCCACCGTGCCACCCATCTAGGAAAGGAGTAGGAGTGGAAGGAGGATTTTTCAAAATGAAGATGGCTGTTTTATGAAACTCTGGTTATTTATAGTGGCTTAGGAATCGTCTGAGTGGTAAATTACAAATTGAATAGTGCGGGACCAGCCGCAAGCAATCACAAGCACGTGATCCTCTCGAAAGGAGTTTATAGATAAACTTTACTTAGTTTTGTAGTTCCGGCCCAAACAAATATTTGTTGCATTTTTTAATCGTTTAAGCTCATTTGATCGACTATACACAATCTTTAATCTATGTTTGATGTTTCATTGTTGAGTTAAACATTTTTGAAGGGTCTCTGACACATTGTGTTTATTATTAAACTTTGTTTTGTTAATTAACAGTATTTTTATTTAGTTTTTGTTATGTTCATTATTTAATATAGGCTCCCTCAAAACACACAGGCACACACTAGATTGACTGGGGGGCGTGGGGGATAGCGAGATTGACTGGGGGGCGTGGGGGATAGCGGGGCGTTGGATAGCGAAGGGGTGTCGCGGATGGAAGTTACGAGCCAGGGTGGGGGTTGGTTGTCGCGGACAAAAGTGAAGAGAGTTGGGGAGTCGCGGATCAAAGTGAAAGTTAACAGTGGACGGGGGAGGAGGGCTGTGAGGCGGTGGATCAGTGCCAGTGCCGCATCAGATTTCACGGATCCGGCGTGTTCCGGCACAAATTAAGCCCTGATGATTACAGAACTCAAAACCAACAATGAAGACGTAGATTGGAATAATATTTTAAGTGAATTAGGAGATATAATCCACTACTTCGTTAATGATGTTTTAAGGAGATTGGTATATGAAATAGAATTTAAAAGCAGCCTTACATGGGTAAATATGTCACTTTTGACCCACACTCCTGACCAGTAGGTGGCAGAAAATAACTCCAAATTTGTATATCAACCGTCAATAAAAAGGAAAATGAAGTCAACGTTATTCCTTGTATGCACTGTATATTGCTTAAATATATTATGGATATATTTTGAATATATTTCCTTTGTTATGTTTTTAACATCTGTGAATTGTAGCTCTGACATGGCCGTGAGGGATAGAAATGACTGAAAAACAGCTGCGAGTGAAGTATATTGATCGCAATGTTTAGATTGCGAATACATCTTGGTTTTGTTCTGTTGATTTGTAATATTAAATATCTGTAGCTTGAAACAGATGGAAAAATGATTGCTATTATATGACTACTATGGCGAGGGCTTTAACAAAGCAGTGCTCATAATATATATAATATCAAGCAAAAAAAATTGAAACAGACAGCTGGAAAACATTACCGGCTTCGTATTCTTGTATAAAATTAAATCTTTTAAGAGGTGTGTGGGTTATTGCAGTCTATTACTGAATGTGTCAGGAATATCGAAAACAAAACCAACTTAACTACCCTCCGTTAGCGCCCCTCGGAGAGCTTGATCCACGGTGGCATTTCTCCCTTTGGGTTTAAGGTTTTGGAAATGAAAAAAAAATCTACCACCCTGTCTAATCTTTTATGATAGATTTGCACAATCCATATGCTTTAGTTTGTTTCCCTTGCTTGAAAGATTGACAGGCCTCCTGCGCGTAGCTTGGGTTGCTAAGCCATGATTGGTGTGTGGCGGTTTTCGGGTGTGGCTTAGCGCAGGGGTTTTCACATTTTTAGGACACACGCCCCAACAAGTTTCTCCAATTTCACTCACACCCCCCACCTCCGGCACCCCTCCCTCGAGCCAAAATTATAATGCACACTCAAACATCATTCACATAGTACTTGCTGCATTTAAAGTGCATTTAAAGAATTTATTACATTGAAACAAAAACCTTACCTGATTCAGTGTGATGGCTGAGCCAGTTTCTGTGAGGACAACATGCTAATCTGTGGTCGGATTCCTGACACGACTAACCGTAAATCATCTTCCACTGTCAATAAGTGTGAGCCATAGCATACTTGCTCTTGATGTACGTACATACAGAAAATGCTGCTTCGCAAAGCCAAGTTCGCAAAGCCCTGACGGTGTGGTTGAGTCGTACATTGAGTATGTTTACATTGGCAACAATACGATTTCAATAGGATTAAGACAAAACTCTAGTTAAGAGTCACCATGTAAACAGCGATTTTTGATTACTTTCATCTGATTAATACATAACTGAACTAAACAGAAATGGAATTAAGACGTGGAGTATGCAGATATTAGTGGCATTATTGAAGTAAACACCGCAATCAGTCTATTACTGTCATGTAGGACTTTTCACCGCATTTTGTGAAAAGATCCACACACACGTCTGTCAGTAAAGGACCACACACACACATCACGAAATGCGGAAGTTTTTTTCTTTCCATTCGACGTACGGTATCAATAATTCACGTCTAACACCTCAGTTTGTCACGGGGGCATGAATGAAATGTTCATAAGTGAAAGTTAAACTGTCGAACTGCAGTTAAAGTCAACAAATATAAGATGAAACACCCAACCCAGATGAGACTCTGCAGGAAACTTGAATAGTCTGGTGACGCAACATTCAAAAAGCACTTCACGTAATTATATTATTGTCTTATTCAGATTAAGGCAGATAACTATTACTGATGTCCATGACGTTGTCAGTAGTCTTCAAAGGAAGTGAAAGATCCAGAAGGGCATCCTGCTGATTTGATTCAGAGGGGCACTTTTTTTTGAGACGCTCACCAGTTTTACTTTCATTCATTCACCGCCATTAGTTTTAAAAATCACCCGCTCTGTTTTATTTGTATATATTTTACTGGAATGCATTAACTCTGCAGGTGCCTGATAGTTAGCTGTAGAGCTAACGTTAATCATATTATTCCCTCTAGTGAACGCATAAGAATCGTCATCATAATTTACTCGAGTGCACTTCTCAATGTCACAGTTTGAAAACCCCTGGTTTAGCAAGGGGACAATTGCTGAGAACCAAATTGCCTCTTGAGGTCATTAAAGAGATAACAATTTAATCCAATTTTATTGTTGTTACAAAAATGAGCTCAAAAACAAGCAAACTAATTAGTGACACTTAAACCAATTAGTAATACCATCAATAAGATCACATTTGTGAAGTAAAAACACTAATGAATGTCTTTTCTCTCAAGACTGTTAACCGGAGCTTCTTTCCCATTTAATGACCCCTCTGGAGGAAAAAACCTTTACAATATAGCCCATTGCCTGAAAATATTCTCTAGATCTTCTGCTGTGAAGCAGAAGCTTCAGAATCATCTACAAACCACCACAACTACTTCTCATGTAAGTATCACTAGACCGGCTCGGTGTAGTAAAAGTGTAAAATGCTAAATATATAATCATTAGATTTCTCATTGAATGTTGTTTAAAGCTGAACAAATAACAGGTATTTGTAAACCACAGGCTTTTTGTTTCGCATTGCTTTGCTTTTCTCACAGGTATCTGGTTTCCCATCCACTGAAAGCAAAACACACTTTAAAAAAGCCAGGTCGCAAAAAAACGGCTACAATGCAGAACAACATCGCTTCTTCAAACAGCACCCTCATTCAGCCTGCCGGATTTTACATCGTTGGCTTGCGTTCAATGCCTTACAGTAATGTCTATGTCATGTTCCTCACCGTGCTGTTTGTGATCACAGTCATATGCAATGTCTTTCTGATCTCCATCATTGTCTATGATCAGCGTCTGCATGTGCCAAAGTTCATGGCTGTTGGTAATCTGGCTGCGGTTGATCTTATTCTCAGCACTGCTCTGGTGCCAGGCATGATAAAGACTTACATTGCTCTGGATAATTTTGTGCCTTTCAATCTCTGCCTTTTGCAAATGTACATTTACTATACTTGTACATGCCTAGAGTCGTTTTCCCTGTGTATTCTCTCTTATGACCGGTTCATTGCGATCTGTTTCCCTTTAAGACACGAATCTATAAATACAAACAGCAGAATGGCTTATATAATCAGTGCAGTTTGGTTCTTTTGTGTTGTTACTTTACTCTATGCTGTTTTTTCCATCCTTACACTATCCTTTTGTGGCTCTAATGAGATGAACAGCTATTTTTGTGATTATACTCCGGTTTTAGTGCTTGCTTGCAGTGACATAACACAACAGTTGAACTATGCCACCGCAGCAACTATACTTTTTATAGGGGTAGCTTCAATTTTTATTTTCTTTACTTATATAGGGATACTGAGAGCTGTGTTTAGAATGAAAAGCAGCCAAAGCCGTTTCAAGGCACTGGCCACATGCACAGAGCACCTTGTATTAGTGTGCTTATACTTCGTTCCTATTGTGATTATCTTCAATCTCACATTTTTTGGAATTATTTGGAGCCCCAATGTAGGTTTGGTGTGTTTGTCTTTGTCATCCCTTCTCCCGCCCTGCGTGAATCCTGTCATCTACTCGTTGAAAACTAAAGAGATTCGAAGCAGGGTTTATTCTTTGTTTACCCGGAGACTATTTGTTCATCCTCTAAAGAATGGGCATTAAGTTACAACATAGTTGTGGCTTGAGTGTAAAGTGATGAGATCATTTATAATGTTTTCTTCAAGGCTTTCTGTGATCATATTGATTGATATTAAAATGCATAACTTTACATCTCCATTTCTGCATTCGCTCTGTGGTTATCTAGTAATTATTAGCATTCAATAGCAACAATTCACAATAAACAAAAGGTTACTGCATCGATCGTTCCTTTAAAGGGATAGTTTACTCAAAACTGAAAACTGAACTGTCATCATTTCCTCATGCTTCACTTCCTCCAAACCACAAAGAAAGATATTTTGAAGAAATCTGAAACCCATTGACTTTCATAGTATTTTTTTTCTATGATCATCTTTACAGGCATTCAGCTTTATTTAAAATAACTTACTTTGTATTCAAAAGAAGAGAGAAACTTATAACGGTGTAAAACCACAGTAAATAGTAAGTAAATCTACAATTTTTGGGTGAAATCTCTGTATCTCTTGTATTTGTAAAATTCACAAAGTAATTTACAGTATTAATTTGATTTCAGATAAAGAACATTCTGTTAGCTGTTTGAGACCTTGCAGATCAGAAATTGAAATATACAGTATGAAATCTTTCCTATCCAAAAGTGCAAGTCTTTTAATATAGTTTTGTAATAGAAAGAAAAATATTTGTATTTAAAATATACACTGAAAAAGTGTTGCATGCAGAACTTTTGCAAACAATTAATTTGTGTTAAATTTAAACAAACAAACTAAGTTTAATAATGTTCAACTTAATTTGTTTGTTTAAATTCAGCCCAAATAAATTGTTTACAACCACTTAATGTAAAAAATTTAGTAAATCCAAGGAATAATCCCTAATTTTTTTCAGTGTATATGTATTTCAGGCTCGATGTTAATTTCACACCTCATTCAGGATGATGGTGAGATCAGATCTTTGTGTGCTGCACAGGGGTGTGTTTCTGAAAACTATTGTTAGCCAACTAAGGTCGCAAGTTGCGTTGTTACAAACATAGATGATTGATTTGGCGTTTCCCAAATCCGCCATTTCAACGAACATCCACAAACTGTGTCGCAATCTTCTATGCTTGGAAAAAAAGCACTAAAATGATGAGTTATGTATGAGAGCTGCTAAAGCAAAAAAAATAAAGTTTGCAAATAAAAATGTTCAATAAAAGATATTCAAACAAAAAATTCATTGTATTTTGGACAGAATTCAATGTAACATGTAAGACATCATTTGTAAAGATATACAGGCCTACTGAATTATTTTTGGAGTGGCAATATTAAATGAATGGCAGCTGTTGTTTTGATCCAACAGCCGCAAAACTACACAATGAACGTTGAGTTTGCATCAGGATAATGATACATGGGGGAAACCGGATATTTACCTACCTGGTAAAAGTAAAACGTATAGTAGTATTGGGTACTTTTTACTTAAGTACATTTTTGAGGCCGTACTTCGTTACTTTTGCTTGAGTACAAAAGTGTAGTGAGTACTTTAGCCAAAGTCGTTTTAAACATGAGTATCTTACTTCTACTTAAGTAAAAGATTTGTATGCTTTTGCTATCTCTGGACTCTTCACACAATTATGAATTCATATTATTGTGTAAAGCTATTGTAGAATTTCAAAACAGTTAGAAAGTCACAAATAAGACATATTGACTACTTTTGTGTTGCTGATATGAAATTTGAATGCTTGACAAAATCGAAATAATGAAATTAGATGGAAATCCTTTTGTTTTTAAAAAGAAAAGCAATATCAATTTAAACTGGAACAATTTGAAAGCAAGTAAATAGTGATAGAATATTAATTTTTGTTTGATATAAACCTGGAACAACTACCTTGTGGCAGGATATTTGATACTAAAATCTGTTTCTGTTTGCTGAGCTTAAAACAAATCATAGTGATGGAAAATGATGCAGTTTTTATTCTGACTTTGATCTCACCTTACATCACGACCTCTCTCCCACCCTCAATAATCATGATGAGATTAGCTCATTGAATATGTATGAAAATGATCAGTAATGAACAAATAAACTAAACATTTAGGTTGACCTCAATTGACCTCTTATAATTCAGACTTCAAAAGTCTGACTGAGGACTCTGATGCTCTTTTTCTACTTCCTCTTTTTCACGTAACTCCTGAGAGTGTTATGACATCTCTGGGTTTGGGGAGATTAATTAGCTCACTCTGAGATGATCATTGTTGTGTTTATGTTGTGTCTCCACTCATTATCACCTAACCTCATGAGATGAGAGCAGCCTTGGGCTCATCAGAACAGAGATCATTCATACAGTCCGGATATAATTTGTATAGTAAAATATCTAATTTTAATAACTAAAATGTTTGGACATTTCATATGAAAAGTGTGGTGAAACACACAAGTGGGGCGTCCACGATCCACATACAAGCTCTTACAGTAACCAAGGAAACAGTGAATAAACTTTGTAGTACCACACACAAACAACTGAAAACAAGTCTAAGTGTCCTAGAACAACACACAGACAGCTAAAAACAAGTGTCCTCGAACCATACACAAACAACTGAAAACAAGTCTAAATGTTCTTACACGCTGTTGGTCTTGTTGCTAAAGTGCTTCTCCTACTAACTAAACCTATGCGCTGAATATATACACTTTACCTGGCGCTTGGACACGACTCGAGAGTAAAAACACCAGAAACTGAGGCGGGGGGCGCAAAACCGTCGGCGATCCATACACAAGCTCTTACAGTAACCAAGGAAACAGTGAGTAAACTTTCTAGTACCACACACAAACAACTGAAAACAAGTCTAAGTGTCCTCGAACCATACACAAACAACTGAAAACAAGTCTAAATGTACTTACACGCTGCTGGTCTCGTTGCTAAAGTGCTTCTCCTTAACTGGCTCCCAGTCAAATCTAGCATTCAGCATAAATTGTTGTTATTTGTTTTTAAAGGTGGTCTGGTTAACCAGTTAGTGAGCTTCTTAGCCTGCATTCTTTGTCCAGAAGCCTTCCGTCGGCACAAACATTTCAGCTGGTTTTTCCCAAGTCTTGAATAAAATCAAATTGAGACTGCATAAGCTTTTTTCTGTGGCAGCCCCTCATCTGTGGAATAGTTGATCGTTTTATATCCGATCCTGCTCCTCCAAATCTTCAAATCTCATTTTAAAAAATCATCTTTTGCCTTTTGCATTTGATTGTAATTAATTTTACATGGTTTACTGTAGCTTCTGTGTGTTGTTTGATTTGTAAAGCACTTTGGTTAACATTTGTTGCTATATATGTAAATAAATCTGCATAGAGTAAAGAGCCGGTGATCTTTTATTTATTCTGTTGATTACATAAAATTGTAAGAATAGTTTTTAAACCACAGCGAACTGTAGTTCTGCCGAGTGACTAAAAGTGATCAGCATGATGGTAAAAAACTGTACATTTCTAGTCAAACCATTCTTCTGCAATCTCATATCAAAAACGGAAATAAGGGCAGTATTAATAGCTATAAATGTGGGAGAGCATCAATATTATGTGATTGTATTGTATTGCAATATGGAACAATTAAATGTTGATGTTAAATCGAAAGTAATTCCCTTGAAAATGAAATGATTTAATGACAATAATTCTCTATGGTTACAACTGAATTAATTACAAAATAACTGTATAAAATGACAAAATATGGAATGATGAAAACATATGGTGAAAATTGTACCCAGCTTAAATGTAAAATTAAAGTTACCAGAGGTAGAAGGAGAGACACAAAGGGAGGGAGAGAGAGACAAAGAGAGCAGGCCCAGAAGTTAGCCTGATTGCAGTAGAGTCAGAGAAGATAGACTCCAGAGGAGGAGAGGAGCAGAGCAGGAAAAGACAGGCCAGGAAAAGAGCCAGAGCCCAAGATTACCACCTATTTTGTCTCTTTCTTGACCATGTGACTAAAGCCCAAATGCTGGGACATTCAAACTGACCAATCAACATGTGACCACATCATAAAACCCCCAAAGTCCAAATACCAGGCCCTGATCTTATCAGTATCTGCCTTTGGAGTCAGTATGGACCTTCTTGAATCAAAAAGACATGTTTTTCTATATGAAGTTTCACAAACTAATTTCGAGAGGAGCACGTGATATGATTGACTGCAGCTGGCCACTCATCTACGCTCATTAGCTAGCTAATCGGATCGATCCAAACTCACTATAAATAACCTAGCTAAGATCTACACCCATATCTTCGTTTTTCGAAGAAACCCCCCATCCACCCCTTCTCCTCCTTTCCTCTTTTGCCGAGGGGAGCTCTCGAGAACACCTGACCTCGTACTCCCCTCACATGCTTTATAGACCTGGCGGGAGCCCTGGGCTCAGCTATCTCCGAGCTCAGTGTTCTCTCCCGGGACAGCATGCCAAACCTGCTAACTTGCTAACAAGTTGTCAAACAGTATCTAAGTGTGAACTCTTGAAATAAACAAATGCAAATGATAATTTAGCTTCTTACAAAATAAATCAAAAGGATGAGTTCATTTTAGATTGTTTAGCTTTTTTCATATATTTGATTTTACCTCTGTAATGTGACCTTGAGATTTTATTGTTGTTGTGCTTACTGTTACAAAATTAACCAAAAGAAATGAACCAAAACACATAATTAGTGATCATCATATCTAACATTAGTGTAGCTAAACATGCTAATGAATGTGTTCTCTGAAGAGTTACAGTTGTTATTGTTGCTTCTTTTCTAATGACTTCTCTGGAGGACAAAGTGGACAACATATTGCCCATAGATTCTCTGTTTAACACTCAGGATTCACAGCGACCCCAGACTGTGAAGCAGAGGTGAAAACTGCAGAGAAGACAGCAGTATGGTCTGTTTTCATTCAGTGTATGACCACAGCAATCATTGGAACATATTAAGTGTATCTTTCATTGTTATTTTTCTTGTTGCATCCTGTGATAAAGGCCTGTGTGATAAATGAATAGATTTGTACAGCGTTGGGTGTTTGTGAATGTTTCTCGCAGGATTCTCTAGCAGTGAAAGCAACACACACTGCAAAGAAGATTGTATAAAGAGGAAAGCAATGCAAAACGCCATCAGTTCTGGTCAAAACAGCTCCATCATACAGCCTGCAGGATTTTACATTGTCGCATTGAGTTCAGTGCCTT